TTTAACGCAAAAAAAGGGCACTTTGCTCCCGGAAAAAGGGCACTTGGCAAAACTTGGGGGGCCTGTCCCCCTGTTCCTACGCCCCTGCATTTGTCTCCCTGTAGGTCCAAGCCAATCTGGTCATTTTGAATGTTTTCACGGCGGTGATGGCCACTAGCCTTAGAGCAGAGGCGACGACAAGGAGTCAGATTGCAATAAATGCACAACTAAATTATACTAGAATACTAAAAAAGTGGTGTAATTTTAAGTTTGCATTATCAACTCCAACCTGCAAAATTCCAACCTGCAAAATCCCCAACCTGCAAAATTCCAACCTGCAAAATTCGCAACCTGCCAAATTCCAACCTGCAACCTGCGTTTTGTACCTGCCGCTGTACAGACCTAACCTGTAAATTAAGCATAATTATCCCTCTTGGTACGATGTTATAATTGTCTCTCATTTGAATTGTTGTCTGAGTGATAATATTTTTTTCACATCACCCCTCCCTGGGTACAATAGAGTCCATCTTGTCCATGCTCACAAAGGATTAATCTCCGTATCATAATATACTGGCAGTTAAACTGGGCTAAAGCTTTTCACCATTTTCAAATCCTATGTCTATGAAAATTCCAGTAGGCTTTTTCCAAAAATACCTTGGGAATTTGTCTGTTGTATTTTTTTGACAACATTTGAGGGCCCACTGTAATTGGTGTTAAGCTGTTTGAGGGCCCACTGTAATTGGTGTACGGTTGTCGGATCGACAAAAAAGCGGTATTTCGCCAAGAGGGGTGTTTTGTACAACAAAGTTTCGTAATATTTCGCATGAAAGGCAGAAATTTACAGTTGTTGTATTCACAAGTCTCGGAATCAAGAAATGGCGCTTCTGAAAGAAGGTTTAAATTTTCTACCCAGTCACACTAGAGGAGTAGAGGTCAATGTTTTCTTGCCTTTACCAGACCTCCTGATTTTTGAACAGAAGTGTTTTAACTTAATCACATTCTTGTTTTTCCTTCAGATCCACTATTACTGTCCATCGTGTTTGTTTTACTTGGGGAAAGACATCACAGAAGGAGAGTGTGAATCGTGCAATGAAATGTATAACGTTGAAAATTGTGACGAAAATGGAAATTACTTTCTCTATTTGTCAATGGAAGATCAAATCAAAGATTTACTTCAGAATGAGAAGGTAAAGAAACATCTCACCAATCGTAATAATCGAAGCGAAACTGTTGGTCTGATTTCAGACGTAACATCATCCATGTTGTACCGTGAATTACTTGAAAATCACAACTTTTCGAACAATGATTTGTCCTTGACATGGAATACTGACGGGATTCCAGTTTTTGAATCGTCATCATACTCCATTTGGCCAATTCAAAGCTCCATAAACGAATTACCTCCACATTTGCGAGGAAAGCACATTTTATTGAATGGCCTTTGGTTTGGTAATAAAAAGCCTGCTATGAACACATTTCTAAAGCCATTTATTGATGAGTGCAAACATCTTGAAGACCATGGATTTACCATTCAGCGTGATCTCCAACCAAAGAAAGTTTTTGCAATGGTTCTATCTGCTGATTCACCAGCAAGAGCCATTGTAAGGAACTGTAAACAGTTCAATGGTCAGCACGGTTGTGATTGGTGTGAGTTCGCGGGTGAAACAATGAACAATCATGGTGGTCCTCCAACACGGTATTACCCATATAGAGGCCCCCCTACGTTGCGAACTGCTACAAAACAAGTGAAGTATGCAATCGAATCGATCGACAAGAATGAAGTAATTAAAGGAGTTAAAGGCCCATCAGTAATTAGTATCCTTGCCACCTTTGATCCAGTGAGGGGAATTGCTGTCGACTTCATGCACTGCGTATGCCTTGGTGTCATGCGACAATTTGTTCATCTATGGATGGACACTAAACAACACGAGAAGCCGTATTACATTGGCAGAAGGGAGTCAGAAATTGATGAAAGATTGAAAGCT